CCCTGCCGCCTTCTTCCCGCCGCCTTCATCCCCTGCCGCCTTCTTCCCCTGTCGCCTCCTCCCCTGCCGCCTCTATCCCCCGCCGCCTTCTTCCCCTGCCGCCTTCTTCCCCGCCGCCTTCATCCCCTGCCGCCTTCTTCCCCGCCGCCTTCATCCCCTGTCGCCTCCTCCCCTGCCGCCTTCTTCCCCGCCGCCTTCCTCATCTGCCGCCTTCTTCCCCGCCGCCTTCATCCCCTGCCGCCTTCTTCCCCGCCGCCTTCCTCACCTGCCGCCTCCTCCCCTGCCGCCTCCTCCCCTGCCGCCTTCTTCCCCGCCGCCATCATCCCCTGCCGCCTTGTTCCCCGCCGCCTTCATCCCCTGCCGCCTTCTTCCCCGCCGCCTTCATCCCCTGTCGCCTCCTCCCCTGCCGCCTTCTTCCCCGCCGCCTTCATCCCCTGCCGCCTTTTTCCCCTGCCGCTTCTTCCCCGCCGCCTTCATCCCCTGCCGCCTCCTCCCCTGCCGCCTTCTTCCCCGCCGCCTTGGCCATCGACAACCACCAACATCTTGAAGCTGGGTAAGTGCTTGCTTGAAGGACGTTGGAAGAAATGGTGCTGCTGCCCTCTGTTCCCTGCTGGCATACGGCCCAGTGAAGTCAGCATGCTTCTTGCTGAGCATCTTGCTGCGCCTTGGAACTGTAGCAACCCACTCAATGCCATCGACAATAACTATGAAGGTTTCTCCGGCGCGGCACTGTGCAAGTTCACACGCAAAGTTAAACACTTCACGTTTAAGGCGTTGGCCTATTTGTCTCTTCTGTAAGTAAAGGTCGCGTATCTGCATAAAGGTACCAGATGGTGCCATTTTCACAGCAATCACATAGTGCTAAACCAGTGACGTTTCTTATTGGTGCTGCAAATTGTCCAAATGTTCACATGACTTCTGGGCAGCAAGAGGTGAAATGCCGTACAATTCCGGACCCCGGTCCGGAAGTGTACGGCATCTTAAAAATTATGCTGAATCCTGGTCTTAACTTCGC